CCAACACTTTGGCTTTGTTTTATGCGACATACAGAGACATATTGTGGGAAAAAAGAAATAAAAAGAAATAAAAAAAAAAAAAAAATATATATATATATATATATATATGTGTATGTATGTGTATGTATATATATATATATATATATATATATATATAACGTGCACTTTAAAGAGGAATTCCAGGTGTGGATATTTTATAAATAGTACATTGGTCCAGCTAGAACCAACTTAACTATATATACACCATACCTTGCCGATTCCCCTGCACACTGGATATCACTAAAGTAGACACTCCAATGATCTCTACTCATCTCCGAGAAGCTGCTCTTCTGCTGACTAAACACAGGAGGTTGGCCGCTCAGCATGAGCACCATTAAGTGAAAGCTTTGCATCTTCTGCTTGGACAAGGTGAAGAGGTTTATATTTTTTTAAATGGTTATTTATTTATTATGGATTGCTTTACGATTGCACAGTCAGATTGTATAATGTATAGTTCAAGTTATACACATATTAGTTTTGAGATATATTTTACCCAAATGTTTAATGTATTTGTATTTATTAGTTTAATATATTACCCAGAATGTATCATTTTAATAATGGTGATAATTATTATTGGTATTGTGTGTTTTTTTTCCTTTTCCCCCTTTTTTTTTGAAACAATGTAGTTTAGTACTCATGTTCTTATTTTTGTATATTAGTTTTGACACTTCCATTATGATTGACTTTTTGGTTTTAAACATGATCCTGTGGAGGGGATATTGTATTGATAGCAGACTGATATGGAGATATTCTTTCTAGCCCTGATGAAGACGTCACTCTTGAACCCCCAAAACGCGTTGGTTACTTTTTGTATTGTACACTTGACTTTTAATGGAGTAAAGTTGTATCTGGACCTCCAAGCAATGGTGTGGTGCTTCAATTTCAATTATTGTTACATTATTCCTTCTTGAGACCTCTGTGCCTGGCATAATTGTTTCTGATTCTTCAATCGGCTTCAGATGCAGGAGCCAGCATCTTGGGAGGGGAAAACTGGCAGTGAAGCCTCCCGGCTTCACAGCTGGTTTTCTACTGCGCATGCGCTGTGTAACTGGTCCTGTAGTTTTCTGGGACCTGTGTGTGTGTGTGTCCCAGAAGGCTGCAGGGGAAAGGAGGAGGGTCCAAAAGATCGCTGTGATGGTCAACACCAGGTACCTGCTCCTCCCCAAAAAGCGCCAAATGTGGCAGTGGAGGTGGGGAGGAGGCAAACAAGCAGAACTTCCCCTTTTGGGTGAAGTTCCACTTTAAAGTGGTTCTAAAGGCTCAAGGCTTCTTACCTTCATGCAAGGTAAAACACCTCTTGTGTGTGCAGTAGCCCCCCCCCCAACCCATTGGCTCCCACTGCTTTCATTCACAGTGAGTGAGCCAATGAGGAGAGAGTGGGGGCAGGGCCGAGCCTTGGCTCTATATGTCTTATGAACACATAGAGCAGCAACTCAGGGACGAGAATGCAGCGGTGCCCCCAGAGTGTGTGGCTTTCCCTGGGGGCACTGCTCCATTGGCTTCCGCTACTGTCAATCACAGTGAGTGAGCCAATGAGGAGAGAGTGGGGGTAGGGCTGAGCCACGGCTCTATATGTCTTATGGACACATAGACCAGCAACTCGGGGATGAGCATGCAGCGGTGCCCCCAGGGTGAGCGGCTTTCCCTAGGGGTACTGCTTGAGAGGGAAGAGCCAGGAGTGCCAGCAGGGACCTGAAAATAACTGGATTGAGGTCACTCTGTGCAAAATCACTACACAGAGCAGATAAGTATGACATGTTTGTTATTTTAGAAAAAAATTAAGTTTTTCTGTAGTGTCACTTTAAACTGGCCTTACCCACATATATATAATTAGTTTAGCCTATTCCTCTATCCATTCTAAACACTGCGTTTGCGACCTGCAGTTTGGGTGTTGTTAGCATTGCATTGCAGATCGCAAGGGCAGTGCGTTTTGAACGTGGTGTGGAAAACGCGCACATGGAACACGAGTTTCCCGCACCATGTCCTGGTGTAAACAGGACTTATTGTGTGACCTCACACCTGTGAACTGATGTATATCAGGATATGACATTTATTAGGTTGAATAAAGTGATACTTTCATCCCCCGTGAGCTTGTAATGAGTATAGGTACAAGAAGAACCCTGCTAAGAGCAAATAAAAGTCTACAGACCATCAGTGGTAGGCCATAGCCTTACACTGTGCTATTCCAGAGTGCCAGAGTGTTCTGATTCCATAGCAGCTACCATCGTGATTTTTTAAAAAATCTGTCTCAGAAGGGGGTGCTTTTGTGCCACAATGACTGACAGCTACATCTGGTCCCTGCTATGAAGGAGGCTTGGGTTGGGTTCACCCCATGAATCAGACGTTCTTATTTTCTCTGTTAAGTGTAGTGAATATAATATTAAACCTGATTGTTTATTATAGGACGTTGCCTTATTTTCATTTTGCTCCAGCATTCATCTAGTCACCCCATGGAGAGATTAGAAGTCTTCCTATACAGAATACATTTCCTATTCACACAAAATAATCCCCTTTTCTTTCCGACAACCAACCCAGGATGTCCGTGCTGAATTAGTAAGAAATTGCACACAATTACGCGCTGACAGACGAAGGCGAGCGGCGATCATGTGACAGTCTGAATTCTGACAGAGAGAGAATTAGAACATCAAAAACAAGGGGAGAGGGTCAGCAGAGATGACCCAGGTGCACAGCTGGATGCTGATGTGAATGATGGGGAATGACAACACAGGCAGGCATGAGGAAGCCAAATCATATGAACTAAAAACTGCATATAAAATATGGTTTACAGCTCAGCCACACCAAGCAGACGTATTTATTGTTGTCAGTGCAGGGAAACAGAAGCAGCAACTTTTGTAGCACCACTGCCCTTCATCAACAATCTCTATTCAACATACTGTACGTGGTTCAATACACAAAGTGTTACCGCAAGCCTGATGCACTCTATCTTAGGCCACCCGTGATTTTCAACTTTCATTGGACTAAACTGAAAATAACTCACTTTTTTAAAACATAAAGATCCTTTTGTGTTAGCTGTGTGAATTGAGCCAACAGAGTCTTCAGGGTTTATGTGAACAGTATATGGCTAACATAATATGAGCTAATACATTAAAATATTGTTGACAAAGTAATTGCACCATTAAATTATTTTTTTTTTTGGTTTGGATAGTGATGATGGGTTAGAACCTCTGTCAGGTTTTTATTGCCTTTGTGCCCATTAAAGAAGATTTAAGGCAGCCATACATGGATTGAAATTCAGCTGGTTCAGCAGGGACCGACTCGATTTCAATCCATATGTCAACAGGCTGGTTGTACAGAGGTCGAAATTCAGCTGGTTCAGCAGGGACCGACTCAATTTCAATCCATATGTCGACAGGCTGGTTGTACAGAGGTTGATCTACAGATTGACTTCTGTACAACCAGCCTGTTGGGTTTTTCCTAAAATGATCAATGCCACCGGCTATAGCCAACAGCACTGATCAGTGTATACTGACAGCAGGGAAGGCTTCCCTGCTTCTTCCCTATTTCTTGTCGGTCAAACATTAAGGTAAGAGAGCATTGCACACAGAGGTGGATTGGTATTTGGTGCTCTGATGTGTGTGGACACTCATTTTAAACTTTACGGACTATGGTTTATAGAGTTACTAAACCCAGGACCCTGCATTCACTATACCTGGTCTCCAACGGTAAACAGAACATGGAACTGCAATTATTTTAGTAAATGTAAACTGCTAAATGCCTTTTCTCATCAGCAGTTAGAGCAGTCTTGTGACTTCTATCAGTGTCCAACTGAGCATTGGTTAAAGCTTGTAGGAGGGGTTTTCATTCTTCCCTGATTTTCCCATGAGACGGCAGGGCCCCTGACCCTCTGTCTGGACATCCTGATTAGCCCCATGCTGATCACATGCATTCTCCCAAGAAAAAAAAAACTCTCTAGCAATAAACACCACACTGAGCATGTGCAGCTTTCCCACAAGGCTCTATTTTTCAGCAGTTCGATTAGGGACAGTAGAAGGAGAGGATCAGAGAAGACAGAATCAAATATCCTTTTTACACAATGCAGAGGATTAACACCTTAGGTTCCACAGTGAGTATAACAAGCACGCTTTACTGCATATACAGACTGGTTTTACTGTTGTGGGTTTAGTAACACTTTAAGAACTTTTGTTTGCAGTTATGCACTTTATTGTTTCCATTATTATATGTTATGGTCACATGGTATACTTATCAGTTTTATAGTGTGATATAACAAATTTATTTGTAATTATTTATGGTTTGGATCACTATTTATAGTAGTTAAAGGGACAGCACACCATATTTAAGTTCAAGTATTTTCCTGTGGTAGTGTGTAAGTACACTGCAGTAGTGGTAGCAGAAGTCCTATAAAACATAGGAACATTTTTATTCTATTTTCATCTATTTATTACACACATTGATTTAATTATAATACACTGGTATAGCAGCACATGGGCTTACACATTCACATTTCGAATTCTGATCTCAGACACAAAGTTTAACATTGCCGGAGGGCGTCTGTAAAAAGAGTGCTGCATTCTGATGGTTCAAGCCGTATGTTACTGTTATGTAAAATGAATCCATAGCATCAGTAATGAAGTGGTAATGTGGTGCAGTGATGTTAGCCCTGCTCTACCGTATCAGGGCACCCTGGGGCGCTCTTTAAGTAAATATGACCCTATAATCTTCCTACAGATTCCAGACATTACATTTTAACACCACGCTTGCAGTTTTCAAATATTTTGTTGAATGATCATGTCAGGCCTTACCCTATGTACAAGTTTCTGCTTGTGATACATTGTTTCCAGCATGAGAAATGTGTCATTCCTATTACACAGATGTTCATGTTAACACTTAACTTGCCACTGTGGAAATGGAACATAGCCAGGAGCATGAAGGGTGGCATGAGACAATGGGGGAGATTTACTCAGAATCTGGTGCAGCTGTGCATGGTAGCCATTCAGCTTCTAACTTCAGCTTGTTCAATTAGGCTCTGGCAATGAAACTTGGAAGCTGATTGGTTTCTCTGCAGAGCTGCACCAGATTTTGTAGCTTGCAGTTTTAGTAAAAACACCCAATGTATGATTTTGCTGGTTGCTTAAAGAATATGTAAACCCAACATTTCATATTCCTGATATGTATCTGCTGTACCATGTACTTGTATGAAAAATTATCTTGTTCTCTTTGTATTGCTTCCTTTGTTTTGAATTCCTGGTGTCCATGCCAGTCCCTCTGCTTTCCTATTAAAAATGACCACACTAAGCATGAGGACACAGGGTCAGTTTTCTAGCTGAGCTGAGAACTCAGCCTGCACTCCTTCAATGATTAGACTTGTGCTGACATGCCTGATCATCAATCCTGCATTGTAACTGAGGATACTGAGGGGCCCACCCCACCCAGTGGTGTATTTAGGTTTTGTGCTGCAAACCAAAAATGGTCTGCCCCAACGGACACTGACCAACACCACTCCCTCTTCCCCCTCCTGCGGAGAGATCCTGACATTGACCAATATCACCCCTGCCCCCCACTCGGGAGAGCCTTCCACTACCCCCACTCATCTTCAGAGATCCCTGGGAACGAGAGTCAGGCTCTACATACACCATCAAGCAGCCCACACCCTCTCTTGGATCCCACTTGGTTCTCATGGCATGCGTATCCCTTCTTTCATCCCTTCTTCTGAGGGGAGGTTGTGCCCCCCTGCAAAATGCCATCCTAGGCAAGTGCCTTGTTTGCCTTGTGGTAAATACGCCCCTGGCCCACACACAAGCTTGAGCATCAGAGAGAAGAGGTGAACACCAGCTGCCAGGGGAGCAAGGGATAAGTTAGGAAAAAGTGCTGTTTACTGGTAACCTATGCAAACATGAGTGGTTGACCTTTATAGTATGGGGGAGCCTCCCAGAGTTCAGCTTTAAAAAATAAAAAGACATTTGCCTAATTTGGTGGAGTACTTTTACCTCTTTGATAAAGGGTCAGCCAGATCAAAAACAATATATATTTGTGGGTGGAAGCTGGTTAGCCTAATTAACCATTGGCAGCCCAGGACAATGGCCAGACGTCCTTCCTGCTGGAACTTTGCTGAGTCCACCATGCCAAAAGATTCCCCCAATCATCGCAACTGGAGGAGTGCTAATCCTACTGCTACATTTTCTGTAGGTCAAAATAAATTAGACATGCAACTGGAGTGATTGAATTAACGTGTATGTAAGGGTAGTTATTGTTTTGTTTTTTTTAGTTTTGGATAAAGTTAAGTTGTTCATAGATGAGTCTGCCAGTCCCTGCTGAACAGGCTGAATTTCGATTCCATCTACGACTGGCTTAAGGAAGAGTTAAAGCGGACGTCCAGTCAAGTCCTAACTATAGCTAAACCTGCTGCCCCCATTCTAAACCAATTCTAACTACCCTGTAAAGGAAAGATGTCTATACTACTGTTCTGAGAGCACTCTGGTCTGGTCACTCAATTGGTCTGGTCAGCTCCCAGCCCATCAGCAGCTTCAGTTTAGAGGAGGGACATCTGGCAACTGATGCCCCATAGTAAGCTTATGGGTGACATCACCCCTCAGGCTCTGCAGTTGTTGTCAGCTATCTCTCCTCTTCACTGAAGGTGGCTGCTGGAGAGATCATGTGACGAGCCCAGAGCGCCCTCAGTATAGGGAAGTATAGACATCTTTCCTTTAATGGGTAGGTTAGAATAGGCTTAGAATGGGATTGGGAGCAAGTTTAAGTATAGTTAGGATTTGACTGCACTTACACTTTAACCATTTTTTTTCTTGCTGTCTTGTACCCCCACTGGATAGATTTACCCTTCTGCTTGTCCTGGTGGCCCATTTGCACGGAGACAGAAATTTAAAAAAAAACAAAAACATGTAAAAAATTTAATTAAAAATAGAAGTGAGTAGAATGCTGCAGTGGGGCCACATGTTTCGGCGACAACTCTTTTAGGATGGGAACTTCGTTGACTTTGGAGAGATTTCCTCTTAATTCCTATTGCATCCCCAGGACAGAAGGTGAAGGGGAATCTCACCAGTGGCCATAGGCAGCAAATAATGGACCTGAAAGGGGTTTCAACACTTCTTTTCTCTATCAAAAAATGGCTTTACATAGACTTTATTGTTTTTAACATTATCAGATATCAGGGAATGACTGAATCCACTGGTAGGTTTAAAAAAAAAAAAAACTTTTGACAACTTCTCATGTCTAATTTCCCTGCATTACTTTCCTGAGCACCATTTTTTGTATCTGGTTCCAATGTTTGGACTTACTGTAATTAAGGTGTGTTATTGAACATATCTACCTCTTCCACAAAATGGACAGTTTAATTGTATAATCTCAGAGATTCCTACAGTGAATAACCACAGGGGAATACTGCGTCCTTCCTACTTTAGTACATGTCATGTTAGGAAGTGGAATGTTTTCAAAGACCTGTACTTAATTGAAGAGTGATTATATAGGAGGACTGGAATGTACATTCTAATTGTAGAGCTCAGGCCTGGCAAGTCAGATAAATGGCGAAGGTACTCTTATAATGGTCACAGACAAGACCGTGCATGTTTCCTGGCTTTCAGCTTAACTGTGTAATAAAAAAATTAGGTTATCCTTAACTGTTGAAAATGCCACAGATTTGGAAAAAAGTGTAATAAAATACTATGGTAATGCCATTAATTGGAACAAATCTAAGCATATATGTAAACAAGCTGCATGCTGTCTGTATGGACATATAGGGGATATCTGCAGCCCAATTCATTAATTTATTATCTGCACTGGTAACTATGAGGGGCGATCAAGTCAAACCGGGACTTTTGAGTTTATATAAAAGAAAAAATTTCAAGGAGTGACAATTGCATTTATTTTTCGACATATGATAATACTACATTTATACACTTATCCCAACATTTAACCAACGTCTGGAAAGCTTCCACGTAAAAAGATTTGTTAGTACGCCTGAACCATCCTAGGACAGCCGACTTCACTTCGTCATCAATGTGTTCACCGTTCCTACAGAAAGAATGGTCTCTTGTGCAATTTCACAACAGGTTATGCATTGACTATCCAGGATCAGGTGTTTCACGTGGTGAATGTTCACAGGAATGACTGCTATGGGCTGGGAACTACCACTACCGGGATCGTCACTGATGGACGTACGGCCAACTTTGAAATATTTACACCATTCAAATGTCTTACTACAGCTGAGCGTCTCATCATGGTACTGTGCTTGAAGTCTTCTGTAGATATCTGCGGGTTCGTTCACTAGAAACTTCATCTTCACACGCTGTTCCATGCACACACTAACACTGTTGTCTGCCATCTTGATTAACAGTCTCTGGACTTACCCACGACATGTGCGGTGTTTATCAGTAATAGGATGCACTTGCCACTTACAACTGCGTGTAGTACCACCACGCTAGCATCCCTTTTTATACCTCTAAAATAAAAGTCCCATTTTGACTTAAATGTCCCTTGTAGTATATTGTTTACAAAGGCATCTCTACATGATGTAAGCAGTATGTAGAACACCTTCCAACTGGACCTAAAAAATTGGAGAATTCATACATTCTCCTTTATATAGGATAAGTATATCATCTTGGGCTAAACATTTTTTTTTTTTCAACTATAGAAGAGTTAAGCAAGGGACCCATGGACCTAAGATGGTTGCCCAGTCCAGCCAAATGTGGATTATATTTATTTTTACAGATCATTGAGTTTTTTGGCAATGCTAAATTTGACCAATATCTAAAGCTAGGATTAAGTTCTAGTCTGGATTTCAAATTTGAAAGGCAAACAGATGGGGTCCTGTGCTTCTTATTTGTGTTGTATGTCACAAACTAAAAATTGAACCAGACTTCCACTTTTTCAGCAAATCTTCCACATTGCTCTGAGCAGTAATATCAATGACTTTTACTTTAGGAAAGGAAACAAGGACCCCTTTCTTGAGCTGGTGTTCTGAGTCATCCCCAAGATGTGGCATTAGAAGTCATATACTAAAGTCAGGGAACAGCTGGGAAGGTTAACTAATAAGAAACTCCCAGTGTAGCTTTGGGAGGGTAAGCAGTAATCTTCTTTACTTAACCACTAACAAGACATTCTATGCATTAAGGTATTAAAAACCTTCTGCATGCAGATTCCTTCCCTTTAGCTCCCCCCAATACTCTCTGGACCAGTGGCTCTTGTCTCCTTCCCTTCTCAATGGCTCTAAGACAGTAGTGGAGGCCATCAGCTCAGAGACAGCAGTGGGAGTCATTGACTCCTGCTGCTGCCAAGCACAGCCAGTGAGGAGGGAGAAGGGCCAAGCCGGCTCTGTGTGTCAATGGACACACAAAGCTGGCATGGAAGCAAGCATGCACAAGTGCCCCCTTAGCAAGCGCCTTGCTTAGGGGGTACTTGGCAGGGGGGGGGGGGGGCCAGGAGCACCAGCAGGGGACCTGAGAAGAGGAGGATCGGAGCTGCTCTGTGCAGTTCCATTGCACAGAGTAGGTAATTATAAACCTGTTTGTTGTTTTTTTTTTTAAGTATTTACAAACACTTTAAACCCAAAACAAAATCATTGCACGGAACAGGTAAGGTATAAAATTTTTGTTGTTTCAAAAAATATACCTTTAGAATCACTGAAAAAAAATTAAAATAAATAAAATATATACTGTATATATATATATATTTTTTTTGTTATAATAGAGATTTTGTTGAGTGGTAGAGCTTGTTCGCACTTGAAAAGCTAACCAAATTGTCTGTAAACCAAATCCTATAAAGTTGGTCATTATTTTTAATTATTGCTAATATAATTAAAATAATAAATATTTGGCTAGTACTCTTGTCCGCTGTGTTTTAAGTCTGGAAATTGAGGGTACACTATAGGGAAAGAAGCCAAGTAAACCCTCAGAGAATAGGAGAACAATAGAGCTGTTTATCAGCCTCCGGAATGTGAAATCACACAAGCATATCATAGCTTGTGATATAGGAAATATTACATACAATACCATTTTAATGAAAAGGTCCATCAGAACAGTGGTCTGCTATTTCTGGCAGCAGATCCTCAGTAGGAGAGGCAGTATTGGATTTTCTGAGCCAAATATTTTCTTGTGAACACTGAGTTAAACTTGCT